GGATGGCTACATAAATGAATTAGCTTATGCTTTAAGAACGGCACATCATGATACTACGGGAAAAACTCCAGCAGAATTATTTTTAGGCAGAAAGTTAATTACGCCTTTAGATAAATTATTCTTTGTGCAACAAAGAGAGCAGGAATTTAAACAAAAGATGTGCAAAAACTTATTGATCAGGCGCTTAAAACCTCGGATACGGCAAGAAATAGGCAGAAAATTTATTATGATAGAAAACGCCGTGAAGCAGATTTTAAAGTTGGGGATAAAGTATTGAAGCGGAAATTTTCTTTATCAAGTGCCCCAGACAATTTTACTGGCAAAGCTAGCTCCAAAGTTTGAAGGCCCCTATGTAATTCAGGAAATCAAAGGAGTAGTATTATATCTTAAAAACGAGAGAGGGGAAATCTGTAAAGCAAGTCCCGACCAGGTGAAAAAATACTATAATCCAAATGATTTTGAAATCCTTAAAAGTTTCTTGCAGGACTCAAGTCTAAACGAAATAGAAGGGCCAGAGACTGCAACAACTATTCCACCACCCAAGAAACGGAGAAAAACTGAAGAGAGACCTAGCACTTCTACAACCCGGACGTCGGTATCAAAAAGAAAAAAGGATTTTCAAACTCCGGCGTTTAAGAAAAACAAAAATACAGATGAACCGGGTAAAGAAACCGTGGTAAAGACGAAAAACACCACCTACAAAAGATGGCAGGAGAAATTACACATCAAGGAGAACGCGCACACGGCCACAGAGTCAGGTGCCAGCAAGGCCGCCGTTCCGGAAACTGAAACGCCAACAGGAGGCACAAAAATACGACGGAACAGAAGAAATTCAAGAAGGACTCCAGACCGGAGGACGTCAAGACCAGCCGTCCCAGGCAGAAAACGGAAAGGCCAACAACCAGACGATTACTCCGTCCAAGAGGCCAGCATGTAGAGGACGCAAAAGAAAGAAGCAACGTGGACGACACTCGGAGATCAATAAGGAGAAGATTGACATCCATGAAACCTCTAACTTGGGATCAATTTTGCCAAAAACGGATGACGGAGTTTCAAGCATCGAAAACTCAAAGATAAGTTAAAACCTTCTATAAATTTTTTTTCTCTTTTGTTCCGAAATGTTATGCATAAGTACGAAGTTCTATGTTTTGACGAAAGTCAATATGTCTCGGTTGAGACTTAGTTTTGTTTTACTTTATTTAGCTAAGGCAAAAGTATTATTTTCTTTAAGTGTAAAAGCTAAAAACAAGCATTTTCTGTTGGTCGAAAGACTAATTCTGTTATGTTAAAGCCAAAATTTGGCCGGAAGATAAAAATAACTTCGTATTCTTGTATTAATAAGAATTTTAGTTTCAGTGCCGCCAGCTTGGCGAAGAATGAGTAAAGTAAAAATTTATTTTCTCTTATTCATTTTATGGTAAATTGTAAAAAGCATATGTATTAAACTTTTGTAAATGTATGTAAATACTTGAATGTTATGTAAAAGTAGAATTTAGTCTAGAAGCATAAAATTGTAGATGCTAAAAGTGAATGCTTAAAAGCAATGAAGTTCAAAATTTAAGTATTAAACTGTAAAGTCATGCTTTAGAGCGAAAGCCTGCATGTTTAAAGATGAATGAGGGGGAAGTTAGAATGAATGTGTTTTGTAGGGTTCTCCACCTACATTTGAATTTTTAAGAATATTAAAGTAGCTCATTGAGTTGTAGAATGTCGAGTAAGGTGTGTCTATTTGGTCGTTGAATTCTAACAAATCATGGTGGTTAGGGGAAGTGTTGTAAGACTAAAACACGAATATTCCCGTTTGACACCACACATGGTGGAGAGCCAGGGTAAAGTTAAATTAATGCTTGAAAAATTGAATGAATGTGAAGTAAGCAATAACTAAGAAAAACGAATCGTTTAAAAACAAAAATTTATTGTGTCAAGAAAGTGTAAATTATAATGTATGTTAGAAAGATACTGATACTTATTCCTTCCAGATGCTGGAAGGAAAGACCAAGATTGATTGATGAAGTCCAGGAAAAGTTGCTGTAAGAAGAAAGAAGCTTTGTAACGAATACAGAATTTTAATATATAATTGTTACATAAGATTTTTTTTTGTGTAAACGAGGCTTTCGCCAGTTAGTTCAGAATTAGATAAAACTTACAACAGGTCGTTTGTAGGACCTGCTTCCAAGTTTTCCAAATTCTGGCAGCGGCAAATGTAGGGTTTATATTTATTTTAACTAACATTTATTTTAAGTTTAAACTATCTTTCCTGTCAAGCCTTACTTTCCCCTGGAACTGCCAATGCCAGAATATGTAAATTTGAGTAGAACGCGCAAGGATTCAAATTATCAGCGGAAGTATATGATTTAAATAGAAGGAAACGAGTTCGGTGAGTGAGAGTTATTCTTACTTAGCGAGCGCGGAGGTAGAAATCGAGAATTGAAGAACCCCGCGTTGCGGCCTATGTGCTTGGCGGGAAGTAGTTGCAATTGTTCCAGTGAGCTTCAAGTCTGCTGAATTAGCAGCGGTATTTGTAAAACGCGGTGAGTTAGTTATTTTAGAGAGCCTCGTAGTTAGAATCTTGTCTTTACTTTCTTTTCAGGTTTTTATTTTTATTTGACTGCCTAGTTGGCACAGTTTGTAAGCGTCAAGAGGACGCAATTGTAATTTATTACGTTGAATAAAAAGGGACTTAAACCCTTTATAAGACTCTGTGGTTTATATACAAGCTTTCACAGTCACCTCTTGGTTGCGTGCAAGTTAGAGGCGCGCAACGTTATAACAGATTTGCGAAAAATCGCACAATCTGGCAACACTGTTGAGGAAACGGAAAGGCGAAGTTATAGCAAAGGCTAAAATTATAAAAACTGGTAAATGGTAATAACACTAAAGTTATAACTTTGTGAAGGATGTATTGTTTTATTCGATTATAGTAAATTCTAATTATGCCTATTTCTGTACACGGAAGGATGTTTTTATGCATATGCTTCTAATCAAATGATACATATTAATAACAGCTCTTTCAGTTACTAAAAATAGAATCCATCAGGCTCTCAAAGTATTTCGCAGCCTTAAACACAAGGTCGCTCACCGGCGACGTGTTTAATGAGGGAAGTTATTGCATATTCGCATTACGTACAAGGTAAAATACTACAAATAATGCAGCGAAGCAAGATGAGGCATTAAAAGCCAACGTGTTCATTTTTAGACACGTTTTGAGAGATGCAGTGTAATAATGCCTCAGAAATCGTTACTTTAGTCCAATACAGCAAACAACTTTGGAATCTCAAAAATTAAATGTTTGTAATGGGCCTAATTTATTTGTATTTGCTGTATATGTTACCGTGAAAGACAGAAATTGGAGAATGTCGACTTTCACCGGAGAATGTTAACATTCACCAAATACGTTGGTGAAGATCGAATATTGCACTACATTCTTGTATATTCGGACCCTCACCGGTGCATGTCGACAATCACAGATATGCTCTGGTGTAAGTTGAAAAGGAGAGGTCATAAAGTGCCATAATGTTTAAAGTTGTTGCAATAAATAAGATTTGAATCACATAATTTAATAAGTTTTTTATTACCGTTATTTTATTTTCTCATTTAGAACGTACTGTATACTAATTAAGTAAGTTTTAACTTCTATTATTTTCCTTTCTCATGTATTGTGTGTTTTAGGTTCTCATGTTCTTAAGTTCTTATTTCAAGTCTCAAGTACGTTTATTCGCGACTGAATTATGGAGAAGAAAATCATTAGTACATGGTGAATGTCGACATTGACCGGTGTAAGTCAGAAATAAGAGTATTTCGAAAATATTTCGGACATACACCAAGAGACTATGTGAATGTTGACATTCACCGGTGAAAGTCGACATTCTCCAGATTTCGGTGATTCACCGTAACATATATACAATTCCAATGAATACTAAAATTATTCGAGAATGTTTTTAGAAATTTTAAATTTCGGTATATTAACAAGTAAATCTTATGAAATATTCAGCTCAAAATTTTAAAGATCATAAACAGCAAACATTGTTTAAGGGGTTTCCTATTTTAATATATTTCACATATCATACTGTTTGCATACAAATTGCTTTTAACGTTAAATGAAAACAATGCAAAAGAAATTCCGCAGTTTGCTAATACTTTCATTCAATGATAAAAACGCTAACTGGCTAAGATTAAATATGTCAAGTCAATATTAAACATGAAATTCTAAACTGTGACGAATTTTCGGTAAATTATTACGAAACAATGTTTGATACAATTTTGAATCATTGTAAAATTACAGCTGAATTTTGTATCCACACGCATAGTTCTACCATTTAGTATGTGATATATAAAGTTCTTAAAACATTATAACTTCCACGATGCGAGATAATTTACAGCTTGACCTTAACACTTGAGGGCTAAATACAAGATTTCTTGTCCTTGGTATTACTAAACTATTAATACAAAATGCAATCCAAAATGTAAAAGTATTAACAGAACTTTAGGTGCCACTCTTGGTAAGTGTTAACAAAATTAAAATGTTAATAAACTGTAGACAGTTTCTATACAGTTGCTTCAGGTGATTCTCACAGGTAAGGCGGCAGAATTATGGTGAAAGCTCCATAAGACAAACATTTAAGCTCTGGCATTTTGACTGACACTTCCCATACAGTAACTTCTAGTCTGAGAAAGAATCCCGAAGATCCAAGGAAAATAAGAATAGAAATTAACCTCAAACTATCTGTTTATGAAATTTAAATCATAAATCTCGTAACGCATCAGATCAAGACATGACAAATTATTAGCTTCTTTTTACATATTTTTTAGCTTTCTATTCTAGTTATTATGTTAAAATTATGAGTTATCGTTAGAATTCTCAGCATTGTTTTGTACGATCGACCAGTAACTAATAATCATTATCAGTGAAGCTTTTAAAAAACATTTATGTGAATTTTTAAACTCAGAGTACAAATTTCGAAATGAAGGAAACCTAACAGTAGATTTTTTTCCCTTTACAGTTTTGCATTCCCCAAAACCATAATGAAGCAAATGACGCTAGCTGTGATTCTCCTCGCTACTTCAGCCGTTGCACTTTCACGTACGTATTGCATTTTCACGAAAATGATTGTTTCCTCTTTTTGATTGTTTTATATACTTTTACTAATTTTTATTTATTTTTAAGTTATTTGAATGCATATAAAATAGTAAATATTTGCTCTTCCTTTTTTTTTTCAAATAGAAAAAAGGAAATTTTAGGAAACTATAATTATTAAATATGGTATTGATTATATATAGAAAAAAATAATTTAGTTACTGATATGAAACTCGGTAAATGTCCTGCGACGACTTTTATGACAATACATTACGTTCCACTATAATGTTGGTCGTATTATATTTATATCATGTTTCCAACTTCTGTTATCATTTACATCTTCAGTTTTTGTTCATGCTTCATTTATAAAATAAACACATTTCATCTACAAGGAAAGGTTTGCTCCTTCTTCTGTTCTGTGCTTTTTTCTTTAAAATGTATCAAGTATCGCCGAAGAACAGTCTGGTAAAAGTTTTCATTGCGATCACCTCACTTAGACGATTACTTCTGTTAGAGCACAAATAAAGATCGGTGCTTAACATCACTGCTGTAAAGTAATAGCCTGAAGTGTACTCAAAAATCACGTGAAACGTGAGAAGTCATCTTAAGGAAGTTTGCGTGCGTTTCGTTAGCGAAGTCACTGCTAAGAATTTAGAAATATATATTAGCATAGGAGTTTTTAATCATAAGATGGAAAGAAAATAATCTTAATACAGTTTTAAGTTTTAAAGATTAATTTAAGGTTTCTTTCGTAAAGCTACCCAGCAAGTGTAGTGGTTAGGGAGCCTGACTGCTGTAGCGATGGGCCCGGGTTCGAATCCCAGAGAAGGCATGGTTTTAACTGTTCGTCCTTTCATACGAGACAACGGTGGCCACCTACGGGGTATATCAGTACAACGGTGACAAACGTTCAGGAGAGACAGAGCACACCTATATATTCCTATGTGAGTAAATGAGTACATAGCGGTGCACTTACAGGAATGCATGGTCGGAGACGCTTTCCTGGCGCGGTAGTGACGACTCAAAAGTTAAGAAGCAAAGAAGACGAACAGTGTGAAAAAAGATATTTATTATTCGGAGTGCAACCCAAACAATGAAAAAAATAACACAGAGAGATAATGATCATCATCAAAGAAGGTGTTCGAAATTACGACCTCGGACCGTCATGCATCTTCCATGCGATCTTCGATTCGTGATGTAGATCTTCCATGCAACCAGAAAAGTGAGGCCTGCATCATGGTCCCGAGTCGTAATTTCAGACACCTTCTTTAATGACTATCGTTGTTTGTTTTTGTTTTCATTTGTAGATTTCTGCTGTACTAAACATAATAAAATATGTTTTGTCTCACTATTTGTGTCCCTTTTTTGCGTTTTGTGTCATCACTACAGCACCAGAAAAGCGTTTCCGACCCTGCATTGCTATGTGATTTCCCATCGTTTAGGTGTACTTTGTCTCTTCTGAAAGTTTGTCACCGCTCTACTGATACATCCTGTATAATGAAATGGCCACCGTTTCCAGCCCTTTTAGTGGCGTAAGGCTAATGGCTATTAAATAAAGCGCCCGGCCATTTAAAAAAGAAGTTTCTTCATCAAAATGTATTACTAGTAATAGCAGATGTTTTCTCAGAATCACTCTCATGCCCATTAAAATATTTTTAAAAAAAGGAGAATAAAAGATGCAAGAGCTATAAAATTCTTACAAGCATTTTGTCATTCTTGATCATACACGAAAGGAAGATAGCAAGCAATAATTAAGTAATTTAAATTAAAAGAAAATTGAATACACGTACAAGATCAGACATCAGAGGCGTAGCAAGGAATTTTTCGTGGGAGGCTTCTCCTACTTCAACTAATATTTCAAATTTTACTGTTTATTTTCAAGGTGAAAAGAATGTTTTTGTGGAGTATAGTATTTCGAATATTATTTTTTTCTGAAAACGAAGTAAAAGTGTTTTATGGATATTAATGAAAACAAATCACATTTTAATACAAAACATTTTAATGCACTTACAAACAAACTGCCAAACGTCTTTTCTTCTTAATAAGAAGAGTCAAAATATCTTCGGCATCAACAGAAATATCACGATATATATATAACATATCAGGTGAACTTACTTGATCTTGGCTTATCAGGTTCTGTGTTCCTCCTTACTTGCTTTGGAAAATTAACTGTCCTGACTCGGAACAGGGAGCTTACTAAAGCTATGTTCAATAAATTTGGGAAGTAGACAATACACACAGGAAGGGTATACGAAACCCTTTATTTTCTCTCTTTACAATGATTTCCGGAACTTCGGAATACAGAGACCAACCACTTGTGGTCTGGAACGTAAGAATATAAAAAATATAACTAAAAATCTAACTAAAACTAACTTTGGATTAATAAAAAAGTGCCTAACTCCAAGATTGGCCGTATATTTAACAAAAAGCCGTATGTAGTACAGAGAACTGCTAACACTACGATACGTTTAAAATTATCACGAGGATTAAACCTCTGGCCTTGAAGGCAACCAGCAACCGAATAAAACTACTATGGCAAGCGGCCTGCTTCTAATAACTCCTTCCTCTCTCTTGCTTGGCAAAAAGCCACAACTTAAGTACTTGGCGTTCGCAAGACAAATTTGAATCTAAATAAGTTAAAGCTTTTTAATTCTGGCCGGAAGTAGAAAAATAAAGTGAAGTGATAGTAAAGATTTAAAATAAAAATAAACGTTAGTAAAACTTAGGATCCTTACAGGCTCATTCTTTTTCTCAAATAGGACTTTAGTAATCGAAGAGAATAAAACGTTCTTTCATTCGAAGCAGTAGATACTGAAAGGATTACTTTTTAGTAGTTTTGTTACTGCTGAAAATTGTTCAGTATTACACACATGAGGAGCTTCCACACCAGATTTCGGTGATTTTTCCAAACTGGCTACTTGTCTGTATCTTCCTGGTATTTTTATATTAAATACTGCATCTGTTCATGCTGCTTAACATTCTTAAGATAAGTTACCATCTGGAAGTGTATTGTGTTTCAGCAGTCGTTTATTAATTTTTTACATAAAATAGTCAAGGAATGTCAAAAACACAGCAATTCGAAAGTATTCTTCTGTATTGATGACTTTTACATTGCATCTCTGACTCTGTCTTTTGGTTATTTTAGGTAAAGTTATTTCAACATCCAGATCACCCCCAAAGCCTTAGCTGTAATATAAACACATGTCTGAATGTCTCCATATCATTACTTCTCATCTCGTTCAGAAAAGAACTGAAAACGTGTTCAGTACATTGCATTGCTGTATCTTCTTTCTGCACAACTTTATTCAAAGTCAGGCTGACTTAAAATGTCCTGACCAGAACATGTAAGGTTACAATAAACCCGGATCTTCTAATAGCACATCCCAGATGACTAACTATAATAGCGGTTTCTCTTTCTTTTCAACGAGCGAGATTATTCGACGTTTCTACCGTTCATGTAACAAGATCCATAATAACAATGAATGCATCGCGTCTCTCAACACAAAGAACTGGATTCATCTGTTTTTTAGACGTTTTCTTATTTGAACTACGGAACGTTTCATTGAGTTTTGCTGTCAAAGTAGCTTCTCTTTTGGGTGTATTAAGAAAATCATATACTTCAGTTATTATGCCAACACAAATCTGAATCACTATGCATGTAATGCAAGTGAATACTGCTTAGAAATACAGGCCTGTACCTCTTTATAGTAGAACCTCATATTTCTTGCCCCATCAGAGTTTGCTCTCTTATATAATCCAAGTTTATTCTTATACTTTTCAGGCTATCTAGGATATGAGCAGCTATATTTTCTCCCGTGCAGTCACGGATGGGGACGAAACCAGGAAATTCTTAACGAATAGGACTGGTCAGAATACCTTGCACAGATAGAAAGCTGCTCTATGCCTGCAGTATCTGCTGTTTCATCTGATAAAACCGAAAAATACTAGAGAAGCTAATCTTTATCACTACCTGGACCTTTATATGACCAGCACAGTACTCCATAATTTCATTTTGAACTTCAGGTCTAATATATCTATAATTTTGTGAATAATTTTCTCAATGTTCAGTCGAATGTTTCACACTATCTCTGCCTCTATATCTCAGGAGAGGTTTAAAGTTTCCTTCGTTAGTTTCAGATTCTGATTATACTGATATATCCAGTGGCCCACAATCTTTACGGCGCGAAGAGAAAATACTTGCTTGTCGCACAAAGCCAAAGTCTCGGTTATTGGCTTCATTTTCAATAATTTTCTTGGATTCACTTTACGTAGCAGTGTCTAATTAATAATTTATCGAGTCAATATTTTCTCTATCAACTTCCAATAAATGGCCTATAATGGAAGTTTTAGATTCAATGTAGCCTCATGTCCACAGAATATTCAAAAACATTTTTATAATTATTGAAATAATATTTCGCAAGTTGTTTCAATTTCTGATGCCCAGTACCAGCTCTATCACGTGCAAATAAAACGCAAACTTTAAACATGCTCTATCTTGTGAACGACTGTAAGCCAGCCACTTTCAACGGCGCAGCCATTTGCCCTGAAGTCTTAAATTACGTTTACTTTGAGGTGCAAATGTTTCAACTGTACTTGACACTCAGACGTTTTGTGAACCCAATATCGTTAGGTTCTGAAAGAATGGTCTTTTCTCCAAGCATTACATTCTCAAAGAACTTGATGCTGACAAAGCAAGCTAATTTTGGGAAAGGAAAAATGTCTTATAGTCTGTATTTCTCTCGGTATGCTTTCTTGAAACTTCATTCTGGAATTCTGCCTTGCTTGGAACTTTTGTAAAAAATGGTTAGTTTCTTTTATCTCTTTTTATCAATCGTTATCCTTTGAAAACACGTACGACTTTGTCTCATATGAATTCAAGGCAATTAATAAATTTAAATCAAGGATCAAATCACACAAATAATGCATACGGCTTTCTGCTAATAAATAAATACCTCCTGGCAAGAGGTATTTACAAAATATGTCTCTTCAGTTTCGACATTGAATACTATCTTATAAAAAATAAATTTGATTAAAATAAGAAACAAATCTACATTTGAATTTGATCTGAATCTATACATTCGCTAAGCAGTAACCAATCAGGATTATGAGATGAAGTACCAACAACACTCGTAATTTCGTTGCAGATATATCATTTCTGACGACTGTTTCATGAGGGGTATAGTACAGAGATATGCACCTTTTCTGTAAAACCTTTGAATCTATCAATTAAATCGTTTCTTAATGACTCAAATCTTTATTCTGCAATTATGTGATTATCAAAAAATGAAATTTACTCACATTCCAAAGCAATTTTATTTCATAACAGGAGTTTGCGAATTTAATAATCTCCTCAAACCTCTCAAATTTAGGTTTTGATCGTCAACAAATCTTTTTCTTTTAAATTATCAGTTATTCCTGAAATCCAATATCTTTTTTCAAATACCTTTTTTATGCCATAGCGTCTCTACATCTGCTTTATCTAATCTTACATAGTTTACATTGCTTTCTCTCTCCAAGAATGAGAATTATCTACATCTTGCAAAGTCTTGCAAAGACATTAAAAGTATAATAACGAAATACGTATTCTTATACTTTTCTACACATTACAGCCCGTGATCCATGCAAGCTCCCACGAGTGAAGGGTAAATGCAGAGATTCCCTCAAGAGATATTACTTCCATTACAAAAAATCCAAATGCGTAAAGTTCTTTTACAGTGGATGTGGTGGTAATGCCAACAACTTTCGAACGAAACAAGAGTGCAAGAAAACGTGTTATCTAGGAAGTAAGTATTACTAAAATATGATTTGGTATGTAGGGTTTATATTTATTTTAACTAACATTTATTTTAAGTTTAAACTATCTTCTTTTGTCAAGCCTTACTTCTCCCTGGAACTGCCAATGCCAGAATATGTAAATTTGAGTAGAACACGCAAGGATTCAAATTATCAGCGGAAGTATTCTGATTTAAATAGAAGGAAACGAGTTCGGGTGTGATATTCTTACTTAGCGAGCGCGGAGGTAGTTAGCGAGAATTGAAGAACCCCGCGTTGCGGCCTATGTGCTTGGCGGGAAGTAGTGGTAATTGTTCCAGTGAGCTCCAAGTCTGCTGAATTAGCAGCGGTATTGTAAAACGCGGTGAGTTAGTTTATTTTAGAGAGCCTCGTAGTTAGAATCTTGTCTTTACTTTCTTTTTTTCAGGTTATTATTTTATTTGACTGCCAAGTTTGGCACAGTCTGTAAGCGTCAAGAGGACGCAATTGTAATTTTATTACGTTGAATAAAAAGGGACTTAAACACTTCACAAGGCGCTCTATCTTTTATACAAGTTTTCACAGTCACCTCTTGGTGCGTGCAAGTTGGAGGCGCGCAACGTTATAGGTAAATTATGAATTTCGTTTTATTTGTTATAAATAATTATAGAAGGAAATTTGTTGTACATGCATGATTCTTTAAAGACTGAAATATCTTTGTAATGTCTTTATATAAATACAGTTAAAAGCCCCTATAAAGAACTTCAAGGGACTGGAAGTTTGGTTCGCTATATCTGATCCCAAAACGTAAATTCGATTACCTTACAAAAAACGTATAAAAATCGAATAATGAATCACAAATATACTGATAAATTGATTGATATTCTAATACCTACCATGAGAAGTGAAACTAAATCTAATTTTAAGAAATAACATAACAGTTTAAATGCAATGATTAAACACTATTATTAAATTTGTTGGCTGTTCTTTTCCAATTACCGTATGTGTTAATACACTTACTTGATAAATTATTTAACATAAATATCATTGTTCTAATCCTTTCTCGATATACACATTTATAACTATGAATAATTATTTATCTCTGAAAATATAAAAACAATAACATGAATAAAATTTATTGATAAATTTATCTTTAATTTTATCTAACTCCAGAGCACGAAAGTAATCTAATTTTCCACTGGTTGGAAATTGCGCGAATATTTTATCCATATTTTTGCCCAAAATTTTGAAATATTACATCATTATTGATATGCGTAGGGACTTTACATTCCGTGTATTGCCTTTCAAATCAACATTTATATCAGCAGCAGAAGAAGATTCTTCGATTCATTTCTCATTTTAAGTTCTATTATAATAAATTCATCACTTCGATTCTTCCATGTGGATTATCACTTTATCACTTTGATCAGCATACCGAAAACGATTTCGGAAGTTGATTCTGTAATAAGTCGCGAAGATTTTCCTATCACTAGTAGTTCATCAAGAAGAGAAGCGTTTTAATCGACGTGTTTGTCATATTATCCAAACTACTTAAACCCAGATTCATGCTTGAGTGACACATCAGACACCTGCGCACACTTCTATCCCTCAATACCAAAAATTTGAAAATTTCTGTCATAACATTATCCTTGAATAGAGCTCTGTCTGATAACACAGTCGAAGAATTAGAATGGAATCGGAGAACTCATTTAACCAAAGCTTCATTCTTGCAGAACGAGGACCATTAAAATATCGTCCTCGTTCTGCAAAAATTAGTTTTTTTTTTTTTTTTTTTTTTTTTTTTTTTTTTTTTTTTTTTTTTGCTACGCAGAGTCTTTGTTCAGAGCACACAGAAAAGTGAGGATAAGATAATTAAAACATAACGTAAGACAGATGAAAAGTAACGTAAAGGCATTTTTTTATGAATGAAATGTGGATCTTAATATCTTAAATGTGGATGATATTATGGATTAGTAAGTTTTTCTTAAAACTTGAAAGCCTTTTGAAAAATTCCAGAAGATGTGTCGAGACATTAGATTTTTTTTAACCTAGAGACGTGAAAATGTGCAATGCCCTCGCTGAGGCTCGAACCTGAACTTCTCGAATACGCACCGAGCGTGCTACCATTACATGGCAAAGGGATGCTGGAAGGTGGGAGAAAATACCTTACAAATATTCCAATGGAATTTTTTCTACCGATATAGGGAGCCTCCAGTTCCGTTACACAACTGGAGGCTTCCTATATCGGTAGAAAAATATTAAGTTTAGAGGAAATTGGATAGGAACTTAAAGTTTGTTCGTCATATCCGGGGGATTCGTTATAAACCCTGTTCATTTTAGTGGGGTTAAATTGCATATACAGGGTGTCCTGTAAATGGTGCGACAAACTTCTAGGGGAGGTAGGGCACATGATAAGGATTAAGAATTGCATAGGAACCCATGCCCGGAAATGTCAGGGGTAAGTGGTAGCAGAGAAGATGGCGAAAGAAACAAGAGAGTGATTAATTTGAAACATTTAGTGGACAGGAATACAAATGGTGTACGATAGATTTGAATGCCACAACAGATGCTCGAAGTTTGCATCATCAGACGCCAAACATGCCTGACACTGACGGACAATTGATTGCCGGACATGTTCGAATACACCGGGAGTTTCTTTGATTGTAACAGCTGCGCAAGCGAGTCTTGCCACGAGATCCATTTCAGACACAACGGGATCATGATACACAACACACTTCTCATAAAACGAAATCAAGGTTCGATAAATCCGGTGAGCGTGGGGGCCAGGGAATCGGTCCATTACACTCAATCCATCGATGCGGGAATGATCTGTTCAAATGGCTGCGAACATCCAGTCTAAAATGAGCAGTAGCTCCCATCATGTTGGAACCACATGTTCCGCCTCGCATTTGGTGGAACATGAATTTTTGTTGAATCGTCATGCAAGCGGGAAGAACATGCTCCAGAAAGATCAGATAATTTGCGGCATTCAACCTGGATGGTAAAAGGTATGGCCCGACTAAGCAATCGCCGATTAAACTCGTCCACACATTCATTTTGAAGCGTTATTGCGCCGCGTGGTGCCGCACACCGTGGGAGCTTTCTTGGGCCCACAAATGCTGATTGTGGTGATTGAATACGCCATCCCTATTGAATGTGGCCTCATCTATGAACAACACATAAGCTAGGAAATTAACTTCAGTGGCACTTTCTTGCAGAACCACTGTGCGAAATGCACACGTTCAGGATGGTCATCCGGAAGCACTAACTGAACCCTTTGGAGACGAAAGGCGTGGAAAGACTCGACGTTCAAAACACAATGGACACTGGTACGATGCATTCTGAATTGAGAGGCAATGGCTCGTATGTTGGTCTTTGGATTACTCTCCACCGTATCCAACAAACTCTCTTCCCTAAAAACCGAGCGAGTTGATCGTGACCTATCCTGACTTGTCCTGCCACATTTTAATGACCCGTAGTCGCACAAATTTTGATGCAAAAGTGCAATTAAGCTGTGGTGTGGTGGATGTCTGTCGGGGAAGCTTCTCGATAAATGCGTGTAGCGGCTGCTCCATTATTCGCAGCTATTCCATACACCTCAGTGCATGTCTTCAAGCTCTCCGTTCGTATAGCTTTACTTGCTCTTCATATGGTGCCTACCGCACGAATCCAATCTCGTCTGGTCATGCACATGTTGTCCTCACCTTGTTAAACTCCCTCTTTTGTAAGCTGCAGTAGGCGGGGCATCAGTGCAGAGAGCAGAATCACTGCAGAGAGCAGAATCACTGCAGAGAGCAGAATAGTCGGTCTTCTGGTATATAACACTATCTTGTGAAGTCTTCAGATAACTGTAGACTTTGAAACCCGTGTTCCTTTGGCAGTATACAGCTCACAGTTCATGTGAAAGAATAGTTCATGTAACAGGAAATGTACACATACGTCAAATCATAACTAACAATTTTTGATAACGCGAATTTCAGAAGCGATTAACATTACCCTTATAGGAAACTCGCTCTTCAATTTAAAAAAAAGAATAAGATTAAAAAATAAAAATAAAACTTATTTTTTCATTTCTCATTCTGCATTACAGGTGCTTTTTGGTGTAGACTTAAGAAACATACAGGCCCTTGCCAAGCATATGTACTACGCTGGTACTACGATGGCAAAAAAATGCAAAAGATTCATCTACGGTGGATGTCAATCAAATGGCAATAATTTCAAAACAAAAAAACAGTGCAAAAGAGCGTGTTACGAAGGCGAAAGTATGTTATTATTATTTTTTAATGTAATAAGTTATAAATCATAAGTTGAATTTTATGCGTTATTTTAAGGACTTAAATCTTTTTTTTTTTATATATATATTTTCATATCCGTTTTTACGAAACTTCAGCTAAGACAACTTTTGTTGTTCTGTGATTTTGCATAGCTGAAAAACAGGAAGAGATTTCACTGTTATGAGAGTAAAAAATTCGTAATATGGTTTCTTCAGCACGTGATGTTAGACATCACTGTACAATGTATAATTCAAACATCCATTATTGTAAATTCTTTGAATCGTAGACTCCATCTACTAATTTCTAGACAATTAGAAATATCACCATAATTTTGATTAATTTACTGTCTTGTTTTTAATTTATTTGTGTTGCGACAAAATGCTCATACTAAAAATTTATCTTGACATTTCTGAAGCCTCCTCTACTCACTGGCCAAATTTCAAAATTTAAGAAATTGCTTGCAAAATATAAATCTTCCAGTTTTGCAAGAACTAAGTATATCAGTTTCAGCTTAATTTCTTTACATTTAAATTGCTTAGTTAAAATTTCTAATTCATTTTATTAGTTTCTTTTAATGTTAAATTCGATCATATTTTGTGCACTTTCAACTGCTGTCTTCATTACCTTTTTTTTCTTCATAACTTTTGACATCTTATCAGCCATCTTAATTCTTGAAAATATCGCCTTATCTTATTTATACTGCTTTACACATTTTCTAATAAATTCCATTTCTGTGACATCACTAAATGTCGGAACAT